GCCAAAACAAAAAAAAAAAAAAAAAAAAGCCGCGATCGCGATCTGCGGCGGCAATTCGGCGGGAGGTCCTTCACTCCCAGGCGGAGTGAGGGACCATCCGCCGAATTGCCGCCGAATACCTGGACCTGCCGCCCCTGTCCGGAACGGCCGCCCCAAGCACCTGCTTGAGAAGCTGGTGCCTGGAGCCGGCCCTGTGTACAGCACCTTTCATCTGGGTGCTAGGTGAATAATAATAATGTGCCTCATCTCCAGTGCAGAAGGACCCACCTTCTGAAGGTCAGTTTTCCTGCCCTGATGAGTGATGTGCCTCATTGCTGGGATCACAAACAAGGGTGCCTGTTAATGTCACACACAATTGTGGTTTCCATGCTGTGGACTCCTGTCCATTAGGAACTGGACTGAGCTGACCAATCTCAATTCAAAGAGGGGTCACTGAGCAGCTGTCAGATTGTAATGACTTCACTTCCTACTGACCTGGTCTGGATTGGCACCAGTTACCTAGAGGAGAAAAACCTTTGTTTCTTGTTAACAAACCTGTGAGCTAGCTCTTAATTATTTTAATCTTTAATTAGAGGTAGGTTACTCAGTTAACCAGTAGAGACACTGCCAGCCTGAGAATAACAAACATGAATGCCTCTGCTGATAGAGAAACCAAGCCCCTAAAATGCCACCTTTTTAGAAGGGACCCAGTGAGCTGGCATTGAGGAGGTGTATGGCATTGCTAGGCAATGGGACATAAAATATCACAGCATCACATGATGTGTTGATCTCAGTCCTCTTCTTGGGGCAAATGTTTAGCACCTGCTTTACCTACTTCACAACCCATTACTCACTCCAGGCAGCACCTTCGTAGGTGTCTGGTTATTTACACACTATTAAAACTGACTGGTGGGGCTGGTGAAAGGTGCCGAAGTCAAAGCCCTGGAATCTTCTTTGAAAACTCAGAACAGGGCCAATTTCCTCTTGATGGGTCTCACTCCAATTCCAAGTGAACTTGTATCCTCATCACAAAAACCACCAACACAGTTAATTCTAATTGAGTCTTTGCTGGCAGTCCCAGTAGAGAGGTCAAGGGCTGAACAGAGTGAATTCCTCTTTTAGGCCTACAGAGAGTCCATACAGGTCAGGGTTGAGGCACATTGCATTGCCACTGCCTGTTCTGTGGATCAGTTGAGGAGTTCAGACTCCAACTCACTCATTCTAGCACCTTCCATCAGCATTCCGCTCACAAACATTCGATTTTTTAAATGACGGGGATGCAACATTACAGAAAGCTGTATCCTGAGACCATGTGTAAAGTATTCAAAGGGAAGGCTGGAATTCTGCCTTGTTTTGCCCACATATATCAGTGCACAGGCTACTTCTTCTGAGAAACAATCTCATCGGCACCTGGATGTTATGGAGTTTGGTATAAATCCCAAAGATCTAAGAGACTCCCATGATAATCAGACGCAGCGGGGAACATTAGAGACACAACAACAGTGACATGGATTTTTCACAAAGTGTGCCATGAAGCTAATTCATTCTCAGGCTGAGGATCCATGCAGCCATTCTGTGTGAGGCATAACGTGTATCTTAACTAAAACACCACAGACAAGATACTGAAAACAAATCACTCATTATCCACCTGAGGAAGCCATTGTCAGCTTTTGTTATGCCTGTCCACCCTAGTAAAAGTACAGTGGACGGGTGCAAATGAAATGGGTTTTTCAGCTGATCGTGGAGAAGACACCATGAACATTACTTGGACTTCAGTGTGGAGAGCAGAGTAGACCTCATTGTGTTTAATGACACTGGAGACTAGCTTCAGTTAGACTGAAAATTGGCTCTGTAGTTAATTAAATCCACTCTCTGCACAACTTCCCTGGCTTTACGCACTGGACGCTGCTGTTGTTTTGCAGAAACTACTCTGAATTAAGGAAAGTATTGCTCCTGATAAAAGTATCATAAAACACAATTTTAATCTAGTGATAGCAGTTCCAGAAACAAGGAAAACAACACACATGAAACTTTACACTCTCTTTACAATATCTAATCAGCCAGATCAGCCAGTCAATGGTAAATAATGTAATAAAGGAACAGCCTGTGATAGCTCCTTTTAGGGCCTTTGCTTGCTTGGTTCCATAATCTGAACTGAATGGCAGCTCCCCTTTCCATTCTTCATTCCCTTTATTATCTCGGGGGTGGGGAGAGGGGAGATTGCCAAACTTGCTCTTTGCCTTCACTTTTCTTGCCCTTACACAATTTTGCTGTTAAGCACATTTCTGAACCATCTGGTTACTGATGAAATACCTTGCACAGATGACAGGCCACATTTCATATCCTCTCACTGCCGTATTATTGCAGCGACAGTTGTTTGCTGGCCTGGCTGTAAGGCAGGGGCATGGGTCCTGGTGCGTCTCAGCAATTTGAAAGCTTCGGACATGAGTTAGTGACGTGCTGGATAGGAATCCACATCTTCAGCCTGAACAAAACAGCATGTCCAACTCTGCCAGAACTGGATCCAAACACCCTGAACTTGGAGAATTCAGATATGGATCTAGAGCTGACCTTTGCACCTCTGATCCATGTGTGTTAAGAACTTTCCTTCCTAGGAGTTTGGAATCAAATCAATGTAGAGCCATTTTGTGTTGAATTTTCCATGAGCTGCAGTTGTATCAACTTGCACCCACACTTTGCAGTTGCAAACATCTGCATTTGCATTAATACCTGCTTGCACCCTTTAAACATGCTAGCACCAGCTTGCACGTACTGGGGTGGGGCCAAAGTGCGGGTGCAAGGCAGAGACTTGTGTGTGCACAGCTGTTAGACTATTTAAAGGGTTGGAATTTTTAACAGGTTTTTCCATCTGCAAAGAGCAGGTGTAAGTGGGTGTGCCATTAGTCCAGTGGAGTAGAGACTGGATAGAGGCTCAGCTGACAATTGACATTGCAGTGGTCATGGTGAGTTCTATGATTTCATTGCATCCTTTTGTAGGTACTGCCTCCAGGCATTGCATCTCCATACAGAGGGCAGGATGCTTAGCCAATGCCTGAGGGCTGGACTGTGGTGTCTGAGAAGTGAGTTCTCCCTAGGTGAAGGATTAGGGAGAATGAAAAGAAGGAAAGGGCTGTCTCATGTGGCATAACTGCTAAAGTTTAGGAAACGTTAAGGAAATTAGCTTGCTGGCTATTCTCCTCTGTGCCACATGCATTTAAAATGTGGTTAAATGGTTGATAAAATGAAACAGTTTGATGCACGCCATAAGTCTAATGTTAATTACTGTACAGGTGCAATTGTCTGCACAAAACTATGCATGGAATTGTATGCTTAATTTTTGCATACAGTTGTCTTGTTCACACCCAGCTAGAACTGTTGTGTTGCTGTCATCACAACTGCTCTAGTTCCTTCCACAGCCAACACCTAACCAGCCAGAGGGCCTAGAGAATATAAGAACATAAGAACAGCCATACTGGGTCAGACCAAAGGTCTGTCTAGCCCAGTATCCTGTCTACCAACAGTGGCCAATGCCAGGTGCCCCAGGAGGAATGAACAGAACAGGTAATCATCAAGTGTTCCATGCCCTGTTCCCCATTCCCAGCTTCTGGCAAACCATCCCTGCCCATCCTGGCTAATAGCCATTGATGGACCTATCCTCCATTAATGTATCTAGTTCTTTTCTGAAC